TTTATAATTAAATCCTGAATTAAATTTTTATCTGACATTAGTGTTAGATATTTCTAATGTTAGATAATGTATTGTTAAATATCTCTATCTCATATTAATTGTGATTACATTTATTTGGTATTAGTTGAATAATGAAATTTTGTTATCCATTTGACACACATTTTAAAATTTAATTCACTTTTCTGTTTTATTCGTTTTATATCTCAAAAATAATTTATGCCTTGATATCCTTGCCAAAAATCCACTATTAAAAAGATATCCAAACGTACATACGTTTGCGAGATATCTTATATAATTATATATATATATATATATATATATGTGTGTGTGTGTGTGTGTGTGTTACATTCGTATTTATATAAACGCGCACACACATGCATAAACTCATTTAATGCACATAAATTAATATCATATAACATTTAACATACATGAATACATATAATCGAATCTGCGTATTTATATGTATTTATGAACGTCCATTAGAAATTTATGTAAGTATGTATGTACGTATAAGCGTGTGTGTGTGTGTGTGTGTCGTGTGCGTGCTATGCATACGTACGTATATGAAAGGCTGCGTCACGCTGCGTATAATTGTATGACTGATGGTATTACAAGACTATGCTCTCTCGCAGCAATTTTGCAGACTTCTGCGGGACTTCTTCCTTTTTATGGCTCGCACAAAACACACATGACAAGAAGGGTTGAAGAACGGGGTCATGAAACGGGGTGGACAAGTGTAACATTCACGCACCATGGGAACACCGATGGGATATCATCATTCACATGATGCTGACCGATCTATCTCGATTGATCATTGCATGCAACTCACCACATAAATGAGCACTACACACCCACTATCGTCCATTTCCTTTTATATCAGTTCGACTGACACATACTGAATTACTGAAGGCTGCTGATACTGTGAAAGGATCACTCCGAGGAAATTCCGTCGACAGACAATGACGGGCAAACTACGAATAGAAATACTCTAGTAAGGGATCGGACAACTGGTCAACAAGCTGCGGATTGGTCGCCGCCATTCGAGGGACATTTCCGGGCTTCGAAAAGTGCGCGCCATGCTTTTGACAGCTTTGACAGTTGCGCTCTCAGTGAGCTGCTTTGATTAAGTGAATGCAATCGATGTGTAGAAAAATTTATAAAACAAATTCGTAAAAGTAAGTATTATATATAAAAAAGAAGGGATTAATGTTGACCTTGTAATATTTTATAGTTTGCAAAATCGTTATTGAAAGTAAAAATCATATAAAAATGTCACGTTTGCATTAAAACACAGTTTGAAACATCGCGCGGCGGTTGCATCTGACCCTCAAATGGCGGCGTATTCACCTCCAAGCTCCCAGCCAGCGACCTACACAGTACCCAGACAGCACAAGGATGTCCTTAGGACGTCCAAAGGGCATCCAGGACATACATGTAGGATATCCTGAGGATATCCTATTTTAATCCTCGGATCTCCAATTAAACTTATGACACATGAAAAAAATCAGCCTAATTTGCTCTTTAATAATATGCATTTTTTATAATTTGCTCCATTTTACTTTTTTTATAAATAAATGATAAAGTTAATAACAATGTAAACGTCAATATAAGCAAAAATTATTAAAATTTGTAGGTTCTCAAAGTACAGAAAAATTGATTCTTTTTTGTTTGAATTTGTTCTACCTTTAAAAACTAATTATCTACAGTATCTACTAAAAAAAAAAAAAATTGTTTTATGCATTTTGTGGATATTAAGAAATTGTGCACAAAAGTATTTAGCGCAACTGTAACCGAACGCGCCATTTTTCAAATTATTCATTTTTCTTTAATTCATTTAAGAAATATTAATACTGAAAAAAATAATTGAGCTTAAATAAATATTTATCACTCCTTCATACATCATTTATTTGAAACTAATAATATTAATTTGTCGTGAAAAAAATATTTATTTGATGTAAGAAATCCTTTTTCAAAACAAATAAATATTTACTTGTTTCAAATAAATGAGGTGTAAAGGAGTATTGGAATAAATATTTATTTGAATTCAATAAATCTCTTTTCAGTGAACAAATTGTGCATTTAATACAATTTTCAGCTGTTAAAATAGGAATATTAAATTTAAAAAATGTGATTTGTGCTATTCGCGATTAAGATTAAGTGCAATTTTTTGATATCCCACAAAATGCATAAAGCAATTATTAACTTTTTTAAAAATAAATACTATAGATAATTAATTTTTAAAGATGGAGCAAATTCAAACAAAAAAGGAGCAATTTTTCTGTACCTTGAGAACCTACAAATTCTAATAATTTTCGCTTATATTGGCGTTTATATTGGCATTATTATTAACTTTATCATTTATTTATAAAAAAAATAAAACAGAGCAAATTATGAAAAATGCATATTATTAAAGAGCAAATTAAGCTGATTTTTTTCATATGTCGTAAGTTTAATTACTGTGTAGCTCGCTGGCTGGAAGCTTGGAGGTGGTATATCCGGCACGTTGTCCGATCCCTTACTAGAGTATCTCTAACTACGAAATGATCTTGAAGATCTCGCGCGCTGACAATGCAAAGCTCTACGGTATACTTTCCTTTTAAGTGGTGTCTACAATAGTAGTGTAGTAAGCCTTAAGGGGATCCTTAAGTGCCGGTCTACAATAGGCGATTTAAGCCCTAAACCTTATGACTTAACCTCTAAACTATGACGTATTTTCGGCCTTAAACATTTCTCGCGCTGCCTTAAGCCCTATTCTCTAAGCCCTAAGCGAGTTGGCCAACTCCCATCTTTTAAAGCTTAGAGCTTGAGGCTAGGATCGATGTAATTTTTCTCTTAAAACAAAGGCTAAATCTTAAATTACCTATTGTAGACCGGCACTAAGAGGACGCCGGACTGTCCTGTTTTACCGGCCATAATAATTAATATTTGCTTAATATAAAAGTTTTGCAGTTTGTATGCGCAAAATAGAATAACTTCGTCTTCGGAATTGCATAAAAGAATATAGGTGAACGTTTAAAAATGTATTTAGAAGCCTAGTAAAAAACATTTCGGTGTGCAAAATTTTGCATAGTAAAATCTTTTTTATAAAGCTTCTAAACTCACTTCTCAAAGTTCACTGATACTTTTTGATAAAATGCCGAGTGCGGAGTCCACTTGTTAGGCACATGCAGATTACAAATTTTTTATATTAAGTAAATGTTGACGGCAGAAGCCGATAACAAAACTGTAATTAAAAAATTTTTTTTCTCTTTTCATATGAAATCATAAACCCCGCACTCCGTTATTATGTATACTTTACAAGCCCGTATCAGACTACGTATTGAAAATTGAAGAATGAAGATTAAAGATTGGAATTTGACTAATCAGAACAAAAGGGACTAAAATTTCTTTGTCCGTTTAGGGAGCAAACCCATGCAGCGGAATAGCGTAATGCAGAACGAGAGCAAAGCCAATCACAAGCGTTCTGTAGTTTTCGTTACGCTCGCGATTGGTTCCCTTCTCCTTCCGCGTTATGCTAATCCGCTGCATGGGTTCGCACCCTTAAAACATATATAAATGGAAGGGGAATAGCAGGCTGAAAAATGTTGGAAGAAAGTGAGAAAGAAAATCGTAGTTGCCTCTCTCTTGTGAGTAACTATACACATACAAGCATCGTGCCTGTAGATATACATACTTGCACCCCAGAGTGCGAACCCATGCAGGGCTGTGTTCCGATTCCCCACCCGGATGCACCCAGACACCTAGAGAGCGTTCAGATTCCTTCCAAGTGCTCTCGCCGGACTCTCAAGTGAGACGTTCAAATTGTCACTCTATTCACCCGGGAGAGCGTAAAAACCTTAGAACATATATAAATGGAAGGAGAATGCCTTTGTTTCCCGATAGAAAAACATGTCGAAAGGAAGTAAGAAAGAAAATCATAGTTGCCTCTCTCTTGTGAGTTACTTTGCTCAAAAGTGCGCATGCGCGGCCATGTGTGTGTACACAAAAGTATGTATACCATAGACACGATGTTTGTATGTGTAGTTACTCGCAAGAGAGAGGCAACTACGATTTCTTTCTCACTTCCTTCGACACTTTTCAGCCTGCTATTCCCCTTCCATTTATATATATTCTAAGGTAAAAACCACCCGGCTTCGTGAGCCGGGTGGTTTGTGAGTGAAGATGAGTGGGAATAAGTGCGGGCAATATTGAAAAATCTAGTAATATTGTAAGTCAGAATCGGACATCAGATGCATTGAAAATTGTGTATTTTTAGATGAACCGACGGTTAAAATTAGCAGAATGGCCAACAGAAAATAGAGGTGAAGGAAAACCAAGCATTCATATCATTTCAATTGGAACCCTGCTAATTTTAACCGTCGGTTCATCTAACCGGACTTGGTGAAATTGGCCCTTAAGTGCCGGTCTACAATAGGTGATTTAAGCTTTAAACCTTAAGAAATTGACCAATCATAGCCAAGTATGAGGAGAATACTCGACTGTGATTAGTCAATTTCTTAAGGCTTAGGGCTTAAATCACCTATTGTAGATCCGGACTAAAGGTGCCTTTACATAGCAGCGTCAAGCGTCGAGCGTTTGCGTAGAAAATTGCGCAGAATCTAATTTCAGCCTAGAATCTATCTCTTTTAAATTCTGCGCATTTTTCTGCGCAGACGCTCGACGCTTAAAGGTAAAAATTTCTTTGTCCTGATTGGCCAAATTTCAATCTCGAATCTTGAATCTCAATCTTCAATGCGTAGTTTGATACGGGCTTAACAGAGCTCACTGGTTTTTACTAAATACAGTTATTGGACTAGTTTACACCGATATACTTTAATACGTACTAAATACTATACCGACCAATCACAACTATTTCATTCTTTAGGGAAATGACTGTGATTGGCCAGTGTAATACATATTAAAGTATACGGTGTAAACTAGGCCTATGTATGAACATACGAGCACATACATTCTTATCTCGTGCGAATCAACCTATCCCACGTATTCCACGTATCCTCAAATTTCACATGAATATATACGTATATAACATCATGTCACACACATCTTCTATAACGTAGTGAGACAGGCTGAAAAATTTTCTAATATATTATTAGAAATAGTAGGAACTACGTGCATTATTGTTTTCTTTGTGTATATATTATACGGTCTTTATGATTGTCACTTTATGATTTAGTCGAGATTTATTTTCGAATAAGTATAATATGATAAAACGTGCAATATTGTTTTATATCATCAAATTATTAGACTATTATGCTTGATGCAATACGTAAACGCGGATTGATGTGATTCGAAAATAGCGGAGTCTCAATCCAATATTTTAAGATATTACTTTTTATCACAACCCAATTAATGGTGCGACGAAGCAGTCGCATCAGCGACTTTTGTGTGTTAAGATGAATCTCGGATATAGTGAGAGAATATTCTATTGGCTATTCCTAATAATTTTGCTTTTTCACCTACAAGTAGGTGCAAATTATTTTAGAACTAACAACAAAAGAGATGACCAATGTTTCTGCAAGGTATTTGATGTCATTCTTGATATCTTGTATCGCACAAAAAACAAAATTTATACTTTGTGATTTTTAAGACATCTTGCTTTTACATGTCTCTATTATTTTTGAAATTATATATATAATAATAATTTCTTCTCTTTTTTTCTTCATATATTTTTCATTATTTGTTTTTCTAATTTCTAATTATTTATTTTATTTAATTTATAACTTTCTAATTTATAATAATAGTTCTATTTACTGATATCTTATTAATAGTATTAAGTTCATATCTTATTAATATCTTATTAAAGTTACAATTAAAATTTCAGTTGAAAGGATCTATAGACGATTGTACTTGTAATGTAGATACTGTGGACTATTTTAACAATATGAGAATATATCCGAGAATTCAAAGTCTTCTAGGCAGAGATTATTTTAGGTTTTATAAGATAAACCTGAACCAGAATTGTCCATTCTGGGCAGACGATAGCAAATGTGCTATTCGTTATTGTCATGTGCTGCCCTGTCAAGATGTAAGTTCTCTTTTTTTTATATACGAAATGCTATTTTAAATATGAATAATCTTAATTTTTTATTTTCTACATTTACTCTATTGTAGAACGATATCCCAGAAGGTTTAAAGGGAGAGATTCCAAGAGATATTCATATTAATGAAAGCCCAGTGGATAAATATAGATCAGATGCACAAATTACTGACTGCAGACATAGCTCTAGAGATCATAATATGGAACTCGGTTTCTTAAACACAACAATTAGGTATTCAAAAAATATATTTAATGCCGAGTAAAAGTCCAAAATAAAATATAAATCTTATTATAGTTCAGAAAATTACAAAGAATTTGAACGATGGCAGCGGCATGACGATGCACAAGATAATTTTTGTGTAAAAGAATCTAGTCAAGGGGAATATGTGGATCTTTTACTTAATCCTGAGAGATATACAGGATATAAAGGAGTCAGTGCACGCAGAATATGGCGAAGTATTTACATGGAAAATTGTTTTAGGTATACAACTATAGTTATGCTAAGTGTTATTTGTATTTTTTATCTTGCTATCAAATTTATTTAGTTTAGTATAATAAATTATTGTTTGCAGACCTGAAAACTCACCTCACATTTTTATACAATCTTCTAAGATAAATAGTAAGTCTTACCACCTTCATTATTTTTAAACTTTATATGAATGCTTATGAAATAGTTAAATATACTATATGTTTTTTCGTGTAATGTCTGTATATTTTTCTTATGTAAAACTTCTTTATAAATGTTATTTACATTATTTGTAAAGTACAGCTTTAATTAATCTGAAAAGAAAATATTAAAAAGTTATAGTTATATGTATTAAATCAAACTTTTGCATATTTATTTTTTTCAATATAGATGTATGTATTATGTTTCAGGAATGTGTTTAGAGAAACGAGTTTTTTACCGAGTTATATCTGGCTTGCATGCTAGCATTAATATACATTTATGTTCAAAATATTTGTTAGCCCCTCAAGATGGCTTACAAGTCTCGTCTGATAATCAATGGGGTCCTAATTTGGAAGAGTTACAAAGAAGATTTTCTCCTGAAACAACAGGTGATGAAGGTCCAAACTGGCTTAAGAATTTGTATTTCACTTTTTTACTTGAATTAAGAGCTCTGGCAAAAGCTGCACCTTATTTAGAAAGAGAAGAATATTATACAGGTAATGAAATGGATGATGAAGATACAAGATTGGCCATGAATGATATATTGAATGTCATCAAGTAAGTATTCTATGCAAGAATATTTTATTTGTTACAATACATATACAATTATAATAAAATGAATGTGATTGTTATATATTGCAGATCATTCCCAGAACATTTTAATGAAACTGTTATGTTCACTGGTGGAACAGAAGCACAATTGTTGAAAGAAGAATTTAGGCAACATTTCAGAAATATTTCACGTATTATGGATTGTGTGGGATGTGATAAATGTAAGCTATGGGGTAAATTGCAAATTCATGGCCTGGGTACTGCGTTAAAGATATTATTCTCAGGAAAATTTGATAGATGGAAACCAACACTTAATAATCTTAATCGAAAGTCGTTTTTCCTAGAAAGAAGTGAGATTGTTGCTTTGGTGAATGCTTTTGGAAGGTAGATTTCATTTTTAATATTTATTATAGAGGGTGTCTACTCTCTGAAAATATATGGAAAACCTGGTATTCTTAGGAATTTTCTTTGTACCTGGAAAGATAAAAAAACTCTTGTGAAATGTTATTGGGACTCTGGGAATTTGCCAAAAAAAAATTTTTTCATTATTTTGCTTTTACTTTATAAGCAGTCGGCAATCCACCGATAAGCCAAGTTGTGAAATATATATTTAAATTATATCATAAATATATACTTATCTCTGTTATATTATTCAATGTCTTTAAAAAATATTGAATATGTACTGGATATTCTTGATCGTGATAAAAAAATGAAAATGTTATGCAAGTGAAAAATGTTTATCTCATGAAAGCTATTCAGTTTTTTTTTTTTTCTGGTACATTTCCAAATCTAGCATTTGAAACTTAAGTGACTATGTCAAGGATTAAGAGAGAAATACAATAAAAAATTTATTTTAGGAAGTTGCACCAAAAAATTTTTTAAATGTTCTCTTTACTTGGAACTTTGAACAAAAATACCTGGAAGATCAGGGAATTTTTTTACAAGATTTGAGTAGACATCCTGTTATAGAAAAATTAATCTAATTTATTAATAATGTTCTCAATTCTTACAGGCTATCAGAAAGTATTTTTGAGTTGGACAGGTTCCGCGGGATGATGAGATAACATATAGTATCAGCTTATAATTAAAAACTTTTCAATATCACTGAAAAACATCACATAAAGACATCACTCAGATTTTCTACCTTGTTTTAGCTTGCTTTATTTGTAGAAAATGAATTTTGTTGTACTAATCTTATTGAATGCATATTTGTATTAGTATAAGTGTTTTGGATGTTATATATTTACATAACTAAATAATTAATAATAGAGTCGGTCGGAATTTTTTATCGAGTTTTATCCTTTTTAAAGGGCAAGGTGAAGAGAATTTGTTATTTTATTGGGATCATTTATTCAATTATATTAGTATAATTTTGAAACTGCATAAATGCCAGTTTACATATGTTAGCTCTAATTAGATTTGTAAATATTTCTTCCAATGCTATGTGAAAGCTATGTATATACATACATACACATATAATATATGAGGGGAAGTCAGAAAAAATAAGATTTTCAACTCGTTTACTGTTTTACCTCTTTATTTTTGTTGAAGTACTTAAATCTCTCAAATATACATGTATGTTTACATTATTTTTTCACATAGTTGCCTTCTCTGTTAAGGTTGTATTTGTCTAGATGGTAGATCCATCAAAACTCTGTTGGCAAAAAGTGTGGTCCTGTTGAAAAATAGTGTATAAGGATGTATATGTTTGAGAGATGTAAGTATCTCTCAACAAAAATATATAAAGTATTAAAAAAGGAAACAAGTTGGGAACCTTATTTTCTGACTTATTTCTTACTTTCTGACTCCTCTCGTATATATGTCAGGAGACCAATTACACCAGTGTTTACTTATGCAAGTTGATAACCAAGTGTATTCTTCTTATATCAATGAATAGGATAATAATATATGAAGAGAAAATAAAGAAAAAAAATCATTAAGCTACTTAACTGAAGAAAAAATTATTGGTGCGATTACACATACATACACACATACATACAATACAGATATATGCGAAAAAATGTAATTAGACATATTTAGTAAGATATTGTTCTCTGAATTGATATTTTCTTCCGATTTATATGGTAGTTTTTTTGACTCCGTCTGTGATAAATATTTTATCTAAAGCAACTATTTATACAACTTAAAAATTTATGTATATTATACTTTATGAAAGTGAGGTTTTATTTACAATATGATACATATTTTTATAATCAATATGAAAAAATTTTATTCATAGTAGTAGTTTATTTTTCATAAAGACAAACATTTGTATAAGTATATAAATATTTAAATAAATATTTATAAATACAATTTTTTTTATATATACGGTTGGTAACAGAGTTGTATTTAAGTTTCTAATTATATGTATGTAAATTTTATTTGTATTATTGGAATATAGCTTGCGATATGTCAAATCTATGTTTAATAGAAAAATTCATCTATACATACATACATATATATATATATATATATATATATATACTCCGTCCAGCGAGAGAATGACCTCGGGTCGGACGAAAACTCGTCTGTTTCGCAGGTCTCCACCCACAGAAACCGTATCTACGTATACGGTAATTGAGTACCTCGCTATGTTCTCCTCACTTTGCTCGTCTATGCGCAGACCGAGATCATTCTCTCTGGACGGAGATATATATATACAGGGTGTCCCAGACATATATATATATATATAGTGTCCGGTAAAGATTGTGCCAACGCTCGTGAACGGGTAAAACACAGTAAACTGAACAGAAAAGTCCTGTAACATTTTTTTTCTATAACGCTCAATAAAGGAGTTATTATTGAGTAAAGTCTGGTCAATCAGCGCCGACTTTTAGCCGGACGCACGTCGGTGAGCCGTCCGCCTATTAGTGTGTGTCGCCGTAGCGACAGAGCGCTCACGCACACTACCAGGAGCGCGGCTAAAGCTCGGCGCTGATTGGCAGACTTTACTCGATAATAACTCCTTTATTAAGCGTTATAGAAAAAAATGTTACAGGACTTTTCTGTTCAGTTTACTGTGCTTTACCCGCTCACGAGCGTTGGCACAATCTTTACCGGACACCCTATATATATGTATGTATAGATGAATTTTTCTATTAAACATATAGATTTGACATATCGCATTATAGATAGAGAATTTGCGGACACGGAATGCACAGCGTGATTGTCCATGTCAAAAGAAGCAACTTTTTTTTATATATTTTCATATATATATATATATATGTGTTCTTATTTTATATATGTTCCTCTTCAATTGTAATAGATGCAATTTAAAAATACATAATTTATTCAATATTCAAAATAATCATTTATTCAGGCATATTATAAAAATTTTATATAATAAAAAAAAAAATCTTTTACGAAAACGCATTGTTTCACTATTATAATCAGAATCTAAAGGGAAAAAAATGATGTAACATTTCAGAATATATCTCAGAGAGATTATATACTTATATAGGCTGCCTTCCGATATTCACTGCTAGTACAGAAAATCTATAGTTTACGTCACGTACACTATAGATTTTCAGTACTGGCAGCGAATATCGGAACGCAGCCATAGTATATGTATAGAGAGAGAGAGAGAGGGAATTTCATAGCAATTGCTTTTAAATTCTTAATGGATGCCAAATTTTATAAATCAATGGGGAGGTCAAACCTATGTAATTCTATATATAAGACCATTAAAATTAAAAAGTATTTGTTTTAAAATTAAAAATTTAATAAATATTAAAATAAATTATAACAGTCTCAGACACGACATAGAGCACGATTGGGAAATAATGCGCTATTTGTAACGTCGTTAACGCTACAGTTACTTTTTTTCGGTAACTGTAACGGCGTTACAAATTTTGTTTGTAACGGAAAAAGTAACTTTGTTACATTTTTCGGTAACGAGTAACGAATTTAACAGTTACTTTTATCGTTACTTTTTTCGAATTTACTCGGTATAATTTTCATACAAAGGAACATATTAATAAGAGTGTTGGAATGCAGCATTACATGAAAATCACTGGCTCATTTTGATATCTTGTTTCTTTCTACTTTGTAAGACAACGCTTAAAAATTTTTAGTGTTAATTTGATCTTGTATTTAAAAAAATTGTATATAAAGTTTGTGTTATATATAAAAAAACTAACGGAAATTGTAACGACTCGTTATTTTTTGAGTAACGATAACGAGTTACTTTTTAAAATTGGTAACGAGTAACGGTAACGAGTTACTTTTTAGAAAAAAGAACGGTAACGATAATGAATTATTTTTATAAAGTAACTTTTCCTGACATAGAGACAAGCAGAAGAAAGTTCTTTTTATGAATTTTGCATTGAAATGATTTGGGAAAGAAATATTTGATAAAAAAAAATCCATTACTCTTATATATCAAACATACAAATAAACTATATTTGTTCATATAAAAATATGAATGTATATCACAATACTTATATGAAATATCTAATATCAAATTAGTCGAAAAATCTTTGGTGAGTTATGTTGAGTTTTTGTTGTCTCTCGGATGATTATACTGCTTGACGATACGTGGTTTGAAGCGATCGTGAAGTACATGTGTACGATTCAAGACATAAACTGCAGCTTGAAGACCACCTACATTTACACCAACCGTTTTTGTCACCCAAAATAAATCGCCAGCTGCCTGCAAAGCCTAAAATAAATAAAGCAGCACTTTATTTTACCTTTTTAAATTTAATTCTCGCTCATTATAACAAAAAACCTTACTTCTTTAAAGCTATATCTATCATATGTAAGCAAAACCAATCGTCCATATGATAATTTTACTACTCGCCCGAGTTCCAGCAAAAAATGCTTGTAAAGAGTTTTGTTGTTCGACTTATTTCCACTTCTTTTACCAAAGGGCTATAGATTATTAAGAGAGAAAATTTTGTTGTTCTTTAAAGAAAAAATAAAAATGTTTAGAAATTGAATGAAAATTTCAGAAATTAATTTGTATACCATATCAGTGACAATGATATCAATAAAAGAATCCTTGAATGGTAATTTTGAAGCAGTCCATTGTATAAGATCTATTTTGCATCCAACTGTAGAGGCATTCATATTAGATTTTGTTCTGTCCACAGCTCTGGAATCATTGTCGCCACATAAGACATACGAGCATGGATAAGCTAGTGTTGCCTGAAATTTGTACATAATGATTTCTTGTTTGTGAATGAATGTCAATAAACTATTAAAGCTACACTTCAACTAAACTCTAATTAATTTAAAAAAAAAATCACATACAGCAGTTACTTTATCAAGTAATATCTACATTTTCTTAATATAAAAAAAAGAAAATTATTAACATTGTTTGACATATGTACAGAAAGATTAAATCAAGAATGATAAATTAGTTAGAAATTTTTGTAGACATTTCTAAAAACAAATAAATTAATTTCTGATTGATTGGAGTTTAGTCAAAGCAGTCTTTAATCTATTATTGTGTAAATACACACTTCTACAGGAATAGAACCTCCTCCACACATAGGATCTATTATTATGTCTCCTGGCTTTGGATTTGCTAATCTTAGCAAGTTATAACATATAGTTGATCTGAGGGTAGTTGGCCCAAAACTTGCAATATTTCTGCGATGCTTGGATTCGTGTGTTACACGTAAATGCGTTATCAATAAATCTAAAATATTTAAATATAATTGGTCACACAACAACATTTAGTCTATCATTATCAATATATAATTCATGCTGTTAAGAAATTTAATGTTTAAATTTCCATTTAAAGTTCTTTTAATTTATCATACCATCTATTAATTTGCAGACAACTTCTAAATGGTACTTTGTTAAATCGACTACCCAATGATACTTGTCCTGCACTACTTCTCCAGTAATCCTAGCAATATCCTTAGACTCAAACACATGTTTACCAGTCCTCTCGCATGTTACTCTGTATCTAAGTATATCACTTTCCTTAGATTCAGAAGGATCTTGACCTCTTTTTTTCCCTTTATTTTCTATTTCTTTTTTTTCCAATACATCCTGTTCTGATGGTTCATGCTCTTCTTTTTCTTTATTATGTATCTCCAATGCTTCTGTTTTGGTTACAAAAACTTGCTCTTTAAATATGGTGTACTCTTCAATTGTTGGATAAAGCTTCCCCATGAATCTTGTTGCATATTTCCATGCATCGAGAGTTTTCTTCCATCTTTTATCTAAGTTTGAAACTACATAATTATGTATAGATTTTAAATCTGTTTCTTTGTCATTGGTAAAAGAAAGTCTTCCTATATCAACTACTATGAATATGTTATCTATCGATCTCATTTGCTGAACCTATAATATGGCAAAGAATAATATAAAATACATCATGCACATGATAAATAACCAAACATAAAAATATTTGAAAAATATATATATCTATAAAATCTGCAAAAAAAAAAAAAAAATACTTTTGGAAACTGGTCCCAGTCTATATTGAAGTAGATTCTTCCACGTTGCTTAACCACCTGCACATCTTTGCCCAATTTTTCCTTGCATTCGTCAATTGCTTCCCATTCAAAACCTATTATCAATCAAATAATTTATTCTAAATTATATAAATTATATAAATTAAATTTAATTCTTTGAGGATGGCAGACATATATATACATGTTTGGAAATTTTTTCAAAAGACGGCAAATATATATATATGTGTGTTTTTTTAAATTTAATCAATAAATGTTTTTCGCTCATTTTCCTCCTAAAATTTAAAATTTTCTAAAAATAGAATCAGTTTGATGATTTCAGGGTCCCGATTAATCAGAGAAATTATCAATCCGAGCCTAATAAAAAAAAAAAAACCAGAAAATGTGTCGCTTACAACTAACCAGAGAGAAAAAAAAGATCAGAGTCAAGGTATGAATGTATAGAGTATAGAGTGTGATATTGATCCCTGTGTAACTAATTGCTTCAAGAAATATCATACTTTAACTCATTTTTAATCCAAAACCATGCTTGTTTTCATTAAATAAATATTTTTTATGAATTTTGTAAAAATCCGATTAAAAAAAAAAATAATAATAACCGTCCTCAGAGTTTAAACACACGTGTCGATTTCTTTGATTTACAGGTTATATAAACAATTTTGTACCTGTGTCCACAGTGGTTCCAATCATAAAAATATTATCATTACACACGTCATTAGACTCTGAGAAGAGTTTTTCTAAAGAGTTATGGTCACTCATAATGAGATCCTTTCCTGTACAGTTGGTCCTTCAGAAAGGGTCTGTTCTTTATAGCTGAACTGGCTGCATTAGTTCAGAGTTTATCTTTTTCTCTCCCCATTGGAAGGAGAAAGATAAGCTCTGAACTAGTGCAGTCAGTTCAGCTATAAAGAACAGACCCAAAGATAGTCAGAAAGTTGAGAAAGGTAGTTGGAAAGTTCAGAGATTTTCGCGCCTGCGTAATGAAGCGAATTTTATCAGACGTTACTAGAACTCAGTCGCATGGATGTTTCATTGCAATAAAAGATATCGTTAGATCTCTCACGGAAAAGAAATGCATATATGTAATATTAAAATAGAGCTATGCATGTTTATATAACATAGCATTTAATATATCTCGGGAACGCTTTCTCGCATATGTACAGCCACCGACGAGATACTATTAAAGACCGTCAGCCCTGGGTAAAATTTTGTGACCATTAAGTGGGCCCGGTGGGCCCGGAGGTAATTGAAGAATGTTGACATTACCGGCCGTTTGATTGGATCGAAGATAATTACACCGTAGCGAGTTTTTTTTCCAGTCACACTAAATCCTATAAGATCACCGGTCTTTAATGATATCTCGTCGGTGGTACAGCGCAGTGGTAGAAAAATTCAGCGATGGCATATATATATATAATACATACAACGGCGAATAGGCGCGAATGTTTGGTCGGATTCCGGAGGAGATTAAGTACAGGCTAGGTAAGTTTCAAGCTAATTTATATTGTTTTTTATTAATTTTTTAATTATTTATTTTTAGTTTATTAATTTGTAAAACATTTTAGATTATTTTTAACACTATCAGGGCAGAGGGCCTAATAGCACCCTTTTTCTTATAAATTTGACACGTATCTTAAAGCCCGTATCAGACTACGTATTGAAGATTAAAATTTGACCAATCAGGACAAAGAAATTTTAGTCCCTTTTGTTCTGATTAGTCAAATTCCAATCTTTAGGGCCAATTTCACCAAGTCCGGTTAGATTAACCGACGGTTAAAATTAGCAGGGTGGCCAACAGAAAACAGAGGTGAAGGAAAACCAAGCATTCTTATCATTTCATTTGGAACCCTGCTAATTTTAACCGTCGGTTAATCTAACCGAGCTTGGTGAAATTGGCCCTTAATCTTCAATCTCCTGTTTTCAATGTATAGTCTGATATGGGCTTAAGCCCGTATCAGACTGCGCATTGAAGATTGAGATTTAAGATTGAAGATTGAAATTTGACCAATCAGGACAAAGAAATTTTAGTTCCTTTTGTTCTGATTAGTCAAATTCCAATCTTCAATACGTAGTCTGATATGGGCTTAACGCATGCGCGAGAAAGCGTTCCTGAGTCTTGAGAACAATACTGCGCATGGGCATGCGTCGAAAAGTACACGACTAGAATTATTGAATGCCCACGAGGTCTTTGAAAGAAATAAGAGAGGATAAATTAAAGTGGAAATAATTGCGCTACAATTTTAATTAGAAAAGTGCCATGAAAATAAAAAATAGTTTACGAAAAAATCCTTTAAGTCGACCTAAGGAGAAGGTTGACAAGACAAACAATGAAGGCCAAGATGAACTAGGCACCTCGGCAAGTAAAACATCTCAAGAGGTTTTGCTGCCTTCTGATGATAATTTTAATCATATTAAATGCAAAGCTGTGAGATATAAAAAATGCCAACAACTAATGAAGGAGAAGTTGAAGGCGAAGAAAGAGGCCAAAAAGGCGAGGATACAAGAAGGTGTTCCAAAACAAGTACCGCACACCATAGAGAGCCTGCGAGAGAAGGATGAGACTATGATTGTATCTAATGATTTGAATGATGAGGCGAATCAAGAACTTAAAATTGAATGTGAGCATGACGAATTTGCTGCCTACTATAGACAGGATTATGAGCCCAAGGTTCTCATTACATATGCCGACAATCCAAATAGAAAGACGAGGATTTTTGGCAGAGAGCTCACAAGGATAATACCAAACTCCCTCTCGCTATATAGGAATCGTTCTGGCGTTAAGAAGATAGTGAAAAGCGCTACTGCCAGGAATTTTACAGATATAATAATTATTAACGAAGATCAATGCAAACCAAGTATCCTTATAAAATTATATGAGATTAATATTCTAATATGTATAGTATTTTTATAGGAATATAAGCTAATATTTACTATATGACAAACTTTCTAGATAAACTGATATATAACTATTAGAGACTTTAGAAATTTTTTAGAAAGCTGCAAAAATGATTTATTTAATTGTTTATATTTGCAAAAATTTGATAAGTTTTTTATGTGTTATATAGGATAGAAAATGTCAGATATAATTTAAATTGTTTTTATTTTTAAAGACTTCCTTACATATTTGTTAGATGGAATGTTAGTCATTCACTTGCCAGATGGTCCTACTGCGCACTTCAAGCTCAGTAATGTCAAAATAACAACAGAATTGAGGCGTAACCACAAGGAAATCACGGAACATAGGCCAGAAGTTATTTTAAATAACTTTGCCACACGTTTAGGATTCACTATTGGTAGAATGCTGGGAGCATTGTTTCATTATCAGCCAGAATTTAAAGGAAGAAGAGCTGTGACATTTCATAATCAGAGGGATTATATATTTTTCAGACATCATAGGTAATTTTATAGCAAATATTTTTAATTCTTAGAGCAAATATTTGCAAATATTTTTATTCTTTTATTCTAAATTTCTTAACAATATTGAGTCAGATTTATGTAATCGTGTAAGAAGTTTATTAAAATTCAAGAATTTATAAAGAAAAGATCTCGAATAATACTAATTTTGTACGCATATGTTAAATTGTATATATATATGTAAGTATTGTTTATATTTTATTATTAATTACAGTAATTTTTATACCATAAGATTTAAAAGAACTTTGTGATATTTGATGGAGATTAATATCAATAAATTTTGTTGTATAATTTAATATGAACTAACACCATTTGCAGGTACGAATTTAATCTCAAGACGGGAAAACCGAGATTACGAGAATTGGGCCCACGATTTACTTTGAAGTTAAGATCATTGCAACATGGAACGTTTGATAGTAAATACGGCGATTACGAGTGGATTATACAAGGTCGCAGACATGATATGGAGACAAGCAGAAGAAAATTCTTCTTGTGAGCTCTGTATGTTGAATTATTGGGAAGAGAAATATTTTGTCCAAAAAATCAATCACGTTTATATGTGAAACAAATAAACTTTAATAATTTTTTTTATATAAAAATATGAATATATATACCAATAACCGATCCGAGTTCGATGAAATACATACTCCTTCCCTTTTTTGCCAACCTGCGGTTGGCAGTCGGGAGTAAAAATAACATTTTTATGAAAATATATATATGTCAGCTTTTTGTTGTCTCTCGAATGATTGTACTGCTTGGCAACTCGCGTTTTAAAGCGATCGTGAAATATATTTATGCAAGATATAAGTTATAACTTAAAGGTTTCTTTTATTTACATCGCCATCGTTTTCATCTCTCAGAATCATTACCTGCTTACAACATCTAAAATAAATAATTTGTATTATTATAGAATTTATCTCAAGAGAGACTACAATAAAATATTTTACTTTAATTCTAAAATATTTTATTCATAATTTAATCTAATAGTTTATGTACTAAAATACATATATTACTTAGAATACATTTTATTTTATTTTACTAATTTTTTAATATTTAACTTTATTTAAGTTTCGTATATATAGTTATAACAAAAATTTACATTTCTTTAAAGGTATATATATATATATATATATATATATCTTAAGTTAAAATCAGTTATCCAAATTATAATAATTGCATTATTTGTATGAGAATTCCAGCAAAAAATTTTGTATGCTTATTCTTATTTTTTTTTTTTTAACAAAAGGCTAATAGATTATTAACAAAAACGAATAAAAACTTTCTTTCCAAAAAAAATTGAAAAATATTTTAAAGTTGTGATCATAAAAATAAAATAAAATTTTTCTAAAATTAATTGTTTTAACATCATATCAGTAACACAACATCAATAAAGAAATTCTTGAATGACAATTTTGAAACAGCCTATTATACGAAATATATTCTGCATCGAAGAATTCATATTAAATTGTATCGACAACTCTAGAATAGTGTCGCAATAGATACATAAATATCAATAAGTTAATATGCCTGATATTGTATGTGTGTGTGAATGAATGTTTATAAATTATTAAAGCTATACACACGCACACAGATTTTAAAACCAATTCCGATTAATTTTATCCGGGAAGTAATCTATCAAGTAATATCTGCATTTTGTTAATATTATCTTATTAACATGGATGGAATTAGTTTTTTGTTATTTGTTCACATGGAAGAAGAGATTAGAAAGAAAAAAGATTAGATTAAGAATGATGAATTATATAATTAGCGTTTATTTAAAAATTAATTAATAAGAATACCATTTTTATATTTACACAACGGCAAGACTTTTTTTACTCTTTTTTCGAATCTGATCGATAACAACAACTATTAGCTTTCTTAACCATCATAAATAAAAAACTTTTTAGTGGCTAATTTAAGATTTGATAGCAATATCTTCTTTTACATTAGCCACGCCTAATTTAAATTCACATTTTGTATTTTTAACAATATGTCGTAACATTTTCCGTCGGCTTTGAAAGGCTTGACTTTTAACGTATTTTTTTATTATAACGATTATCATAGTTAGATAATATGAAATAAACTAAAATTATGTTAAAATTAAGATAATTATGTTAAAATTATGATATAATTATGTTAAAATTAGATAAATATTTAATTTATCTCGGTAATATCCAAATTTTTGTTAAGATATGTTTTGTGTTAATCCTAATTGAATTTTTATACCTAAAATTCTAATTAATTCGTCACTTCTCTCTCTTTTAAAAATTTCTGTAACGCGACTCAATTTCCATTGAAGATGCATTATCGTCTCGTAATAATACGAGAATGTCTATCTTGAGCGAAGGGAGGATTTAGTTGTAATTTTTTCCATTTTTGTCGCGGTTGAAGTTGTGCAACGTGCTCTCGCGACCAATGTTTCCAAAGATGTTTTATTAAACAAATTAATAAAATTGGTATCG